TGAGTCCGCCTGTCCTCCGTCCGTCGGGGGTGAGTGTGCCCTTGGCACGGACGTCCTAGAGGACAGGCAGGAGGAGTTCCAGTGTCTAGCCGCTGCTTCACCTCGTCTCGCGTCTGTACTGCTAGCCCCTGAGGGAGACCCGGATGCACTAGACATCCCGACTCCGCGTTCTTACGCGGAGGCCGTAGAGGGTCCCTACTCCTCTCAGTGGCAGGCAGCTATGGATGCAGAGATGGCTTCCTGGAAGTCCACAGGCACCTACGTTGACGCGGTTCCCCCTCCTGGGGCGAACATCGTCAGTGGCATGTGGATCTTCAGGGTGAAGCGGCCGCCGGGCTCGCCGCCTGTCTTCAAGGCGCGTTACGTGGCTCGTGGCTTCAGTCAGCGGCAGGGAGTTGACTACTTTCAGACCTTCTCTCCCACCCCGAAGATGACCACTCTTCGGGTGCTGCTGCACATTGCCGCTCAGCGCGACTACGAGCTTCACTCTCTCGACTTCAGCACTGCGTTCCTGCAGGGTAGCCTGCACGAGGAGATCTGGCTGCGCCGTCCGCCTGGCTTCACTGGGACTTTCCCTCCTGGCACCCAGTGGAGCCTCCGACGGCCAGTCTACGGTCTCCGCCAGGCACCGCGTGAGTGGCACGACACACTGAGGACTACGCTTGCGGCTCTTGGGTTTGCTCCTTCTACTGCTGACCCGTCGCTGTTTCTTCGCACCGACACTTCCCTGCCGCCGTTCTACATCCTCGTGTACGTCGACGACTTGGTCTTTGCCACAGCGGACACTGCTGGACTCGCCTACGTGAAGTCCGAGCTGCTGAAGAGACACACGTGCACAGACCTGGGTGAACTGCGCAGCTACCTTGGCTTGCAGATCACTCGGGACAGAGCACGCCGCACCATTACCCTGACTCAGTCACACATGGTGCAGCAGGTCCTTCAGCGCTTCGGCTTCACGTACTCCTCGCCTCAGGCCACTCCTCTGCCTACTCGCCACTCACTCTCAGCTCTGCCTTCGGATGAGTCCGTAGAGTCGAGTGGTCCGTATGCAGAGCTTGTTGGCTGCCTCATGTACCTGATGACCTGCACTCGACCTGACCTTGCATACCCTCTGAGCATCCTTGCACGCTATGTTGCTCCTGGGAGACACCGACCAGAGCACATGGCTGCAGCGAAGAGGGTATTGCGCTACCTGTGCAGTACGTCGGGCATGGGGCTAGTGCTTGGAGGGCGGAGTCCAGTGGTCCTTACTGGGCACGCAGACGCTTCTTGGGCTGACGACCAGGCTACGCAGCGGTCGTCACAGGGTTACACCTTCAGCCTTGGTTCCGGCTCTGTCTCGTGGCGGTCTACTCGCTCGTCTTCGGTTCTCGGCTCCAGTTGTGAGGCTGAGATCTACGCCGGGGCCATGGCTGCACAGGAGCTTCGCTGGCTCACCTACCTGCTGACTGACCTTGGAGAGCTGCCTCGTTCTCCTCCAGTGCTGTACGTAGACAACAAGGCCATGTTGGCCTTGTGTCGAGAGCAGCGCTTGGAGCACAGAACGAAGCACATTGCTCTCCGCTACTTCCTTGCTCGTGAGCTGCAGCAGCGTGGTCAGTTGCGACTTGCTTACGTGGCCTCTGAGGCCAACACTGCTGATGTGTTCACCAAGGCACTTGCGCCTTGCGACCATCAGCGCTTTTGTACCCAGCTGGGTCTTGTACCTGTCTTGCCTCACTTGCTCTCTTCTTGACTTTACTTGTACTTTGACATATATATACCTGCTCTTGCTTGTCTAGTTTTATATATATGTCTTTACTCCTGCATGTGAACTGGCCTCTGGCCTTGCTCTTGTGCTCGGACTGTGTGGTGACTTTGTGATCCACCCTGAGCTTGTTTTGCTTTGCTTGACTGGTCTTGTGACCCCTTGTTCTCCCCCACTTTGCCTATGGGGGTGTGTCAGATTATTATAGCTGATGCATGTTTGTAGGCTATAGTGGGGTAGCACATATGGGGTACAGTTTGCTAGGGTTGTATTTGTACCCAACTCTGACTTAGTCAATTCATTCCTCTGCTCATAGTTTCACAAACCGAACATTTCGAACCGAACTTAAGTTCGGTTCGATGCTCATATCAAGATGGACGTACCCTTTCTTGCATGCGTGCGGTTGAAAAGATACTTGACAATGTGTCTAATCTTGTCACCTTGGCACCCATGCCAGAGCGCGGAGATGCTGTCTGTCTGTAGACCGGAATGTGATTCACTTGTCTCATCACGCTCAACGCACTCAACCCCACACAGGGATCTCAGCTCTAACTCTTTCACGAGCTCCATTCCCGACAGCATCTCCGCGCTCACAGCACTCACATACCTGTAAGATGCACACAGAATTTTCTCCACCTGCGTGCTGCTCTGTCCACTGGGTGCTGCATACCATGCGCGCATCACTGCTGACTCAGCCCATTTATTCTGCTGCTTGTCCCCCTCTGCTTTCTACATCTCTTCTACCTTTGCCTTTCCCTAACCGTTCCAAATTGATCATGCCTTTTTAATTCCAGCCACCCTTTGTGGACGGAGTTTTGAGCCTCTTGTCCCATTTCCCGCATCCCGCTCAACTCGCTCAACCCCACACAGGGATCTCAGCCATAACACTCTCAGTGACTCCATTCCCAACAGCATATCCGCGCTCAAGTCCCTCAAATACATGTGAGCAGCACACTGGGTTTGCTCCACCTGCGTGCTGCTCTGTCCACTGGGTGCTGCATGCCATGTGCGCATCACTGCTGGCACTCCTCCACTTCCCATGCACTCTGCATGCCCATGCCTCCCACATTCTGCATCCCATCTCCACTCTGTGCTCCTCCCAGCTGCTATGTTTCATGGAAGTCATGCATTTGCTGCTTTGGCAAATCTCACAGCTGCCGATATGCAATCTCAACCTTTACGATCTCAGTCAGTACTCTGCATTCAATTGGCTTGCTCTAGCCCTAACTTATCAATCCCTCCAGGCTCCAGCCACCCTCTGTGGGCAGGGCTTTGTGTCTCTCATTTCATCGGTCTAACTCTCAACCCCACACAGAAATCTCAACTCTGACTATCTCGAGGGAGCCATTCCCGATGGCATCGCCGCACTCACGGCACTCACATGGCTGTAAGAGGCACACTGGGTTTGCTCCACCTGCGTGCTGCTCTGTCCACTGGGTGCTGCATGCCATGTGCGCATCACTGCTGGCACTCCTCCTCTGCCCATGCGCTCTGCATGCCCACTCCATTCCTCCACCCCTCTGTTGTCTGCATCATATTTCACCTCCGTGTTCCCCCTTGTTGATATACTTCGAGATTATTCAAACCACTAATCCACGTGTTTATTGCTTCGGCAGATCTCACAACTGCCTCCACACAATCGTAATTTCTACAATCTCAGTCGATCCTCTGCGTCTGTTTTCATTGCTATAGCCCTTGTGACCTGATCATCAGTTCTAAGTTGCAGCCACCCTCTGCGGACAAGGATTGAACCTTTGTGTAATCACCCGCACACAGGGATCTTGGCTCTCATAACACTCTCAGCAGCTCCATTCCCAGCAGCATCTCTGCACTCAAGTCGCTCAAATACCTGTAAGAGGCACACTGGGTTTGCTCCACCTGCGTGCTCCCCGCCTCCGCCCCGCCCTCTGCTTTGTGCTTCGCCACTCCTTGTTCCTCCCTGCCGGTGGACATGGAGTTGAAGCTTTTCTTCCTTAACCTTGAATCAACGTGTTTATTGGTTTGGAAACAACTGCAGTCCGCAAACTCAGTCAGTTCTCTGCAGTGGCTTGTCTTGCTTTACCCTTTTCGAACTGATCAGTCCTTCTAAGTTTCAGTCACCGTCTCCACGCCTGTCTTGGCTTAACCAGTCCAGTGTCTTGGAGGGAGGTTAGTGACAAGATGCTGGGCGCTTGCCTAGCCCCTGTTGGACCTTAGTCCACGCAGGCAAAACAAATTTGGGCAGGTACTAAAACTTCAGCAATAGGTTGGGGGTGGAGGGGCTACTCTAACGCTAACAACCTAGGAGGTTGACTAGATTTTGAAGCCAGTATGTCACCGTTTGTTTAAATCTTCTCATCTAGGATGGGTTGTGCGCTGGTTGGAAACTCTAGATTTAATGTGGTGAAGTTCGATTGGGAAGAAAAAGATCGGTTGGATCGTTGGGATGCCGAATAGGCATTTTGATTCTAAGAGTTAACATTTACGTGAAAGTTGCACATCGCGGTCAACGTGGCATTTGTTTTCCCAGCCTGACTGGAAAGAAACAAAAGAAAACGCAGTATTGCCAAGCATTCAGCATCTGAGACTGATGCTGCGTGGGGCTCATGGTTTATGGTTGGGGCTTATGGTTTTTTGCCTTCTCCTTTGCTAAGGTGCTTGTAATCAACTCTCTTAACTTGCCTATGAAGAAAAAGCAGGATAAAAAGCATATGCTCTTAACCCTCAATCTTTGTCTTTCTCATGTAACGAATTTGTTTTCGAAAAGAGAATGGTGTACAATAGGTGGTGGGCTGAGAATGTCTAACCATACCAAGTGTGGCAGCTGCAGCACAATACGGTATGAGAGTAAAATACCTAGCAGTACCCTGCAAAAGAGGGCCCTGATTCAAAGCCCAAGGTTACAGTACTCGAATTCCAGTTTTAGCCTTGAAGACTCTCGTCAGCTAGCACATTGAAAACAAAGATTATGGTACAGGATGCTAGCTCCTCTACTTACAATAACTAAGTACTGTAACGACCATCAGGTAGCAAGTGACCTTGCCTGCCACGTATATCCTCTCCCAGCATCTGAGCTAAGCCCAGGACTTCTCCCTCCCACAGCTCCTCACTTACCAGTTACACATGCGGTACTTGCTGTGCTTCGGATCGGACACGCATCTGCGCAAGCATCAAACTCCAAGGTCATTCATTCACACCTACACTCCCACTCTCGTCCACTCCCACCCCTGTCCCACACTCTTCCACTCCCTCCCTCACACCACACCATCCAGCATCACTGCTTGCTGGCCACCTGCTCACTGAGCTCCCACAGCTTCCCAGCCAGCTCCATGTCCTTGCTCAGCGCTGTGGCCTTGCCCTCTGCTGCCCGCGAGTCTGCGTAGTAGCCCCCACTCGCACCCGCCACTGAGGGGTGCGCTGCAAGGAAGCATGACGTGGCTGCACCCTGAGGGAAAGAAAGGGGAGTGGTTGAGGATAAGAGGTGATTAGGTGGAGGTGGAAGGAGTGTGTGAGAGGAAAGAGGGGGATGGGCGGAAGGAGCTCGCACCAGAAAATGGTGAAGGACGCAGGATGGTGTGGCTTGAGTGGAAGGAAGGGGGAGGAGGGGGAAAGGTTGGAAGGTAATGGAGCATGAGAAGTAGCCCCATTGGGCTTCGTTGCAAGCAGTGTCCACATGAACATGGGGATGTGCTGGCACCCAACCATGCAGCAGTGAAAGGTGGCAGTGGTGAGGCGAGGTGAGGTGAGGTGAGGTGAGGTGAGGAGAGGTGAGGTGAGGTGAGGTGAGGAGGGGTGAGGGGTTGGTAAAGTAGAGGCAACGCTCCGATCACACTCATGATCATTCTTGCAGCAGAGTTGGACTTTTACCTGAGGAATGGTCTTCATGAACCACTGGAACACCAGGCTGGAACACCATACGTCCGAGGGTGTGCCAGATGGTCCCTGGCGGCACTATGTGGCGTGAGGGGTTGGTGTCAATCACCCCCGGGTGCAATGCATTCACTGTCACTCCTGCACCCTCCTCCTGCTCGCATGCATAAAGGGAGAGACAGGAAGGGGAGAGAGGGGAAGAAGGAGGGTGAGGGAGGGTGTTGGTGAGTAGAACGGAGATTGCCTCTGTTGAGGGTCAATCACCCCTGGGTACAGAGCAATCACAGTCATACCTGTACAGGGGTTTTCAAAAGGAGAGGGTTGGGAGAGTGGGGACGAGGAGGAAGCTATATTTGGTGAGGAATTTAAGACTGGCATCAAAGAGAACAAAGTTTTCCCAGCGCGTTTTCCCTGCCTACATCTTCACTTCCCCTCCCACTCATACAAATACGCGCGCACATTCCTGTACACATGCATACCCACCCACCCACCACACACACCCGCTCCTTCATACACACCCTCCTCTCCCACAGCCACGCACCTTGAACCGCCGTGCGAGCTCCCGAGCGTGCAGGATATTAGCGAGCTTGGACTGCCCGTACGCCCTCATGGAGTCGTTCCCCTCCTGAGCATGATGGCATCAAAACGGATGCCACCCGGGTACGGGAACTGGTAGGCGGCGGAGGACACGATCACGATGCGCGCCTCTGCGCCCTCCTGCTTGGCGGTTTCCTTGAGCTTCGGCAGCAGCAGGTTGGTCAGTAGGAAGTGGCCTAAAGGGGGTACGACGTGCGATGCAATTGGGTGGGGGATGTGTGCGGAGGAAGGGGGGAAGGGGATGGAAGGGAAGAGGGGGGGAGGGGGGGCGGAGGGGACGGAAGAAAGGGGGAGAGGGAGGCAGTGGAGGTGTGGTGCGATCAGCCTGAAAGCTCCATGAGCTTAGGAACGCAACAAATGCACTCGAGCCTAGAAAGTGAACAACCAACTGGTAGACTCTGCTTCACTCCCCAAACTCCCATTCTTCCCTCACACTCCACCCCGCCACCCATGCTGTGCGCATGTAATCTGCTTGCTTGCCTCACCCACGTCATTGCTGCTCCCCTGCACTCACCCTCATGGTCGCTACTCCCATACACTCGCCCACGTGGTTGCCTCCCTGCACTCATCCACGTGGTTGCCTCCCTGCACTCACCCACGTGGTTGCCTCCCTGCACTCACCCACGTGGTTGCTGTTCCCCTGCACTCACCCACGTGGTTGCCTCCCTGCACTCACCCACGTGATTGGTGCCGAACTGGTTCTCATGGCCGTCCGCAGTGAGCATGAACGGGCATATCATCACGCCCGCATTGTTGCTGCCCGGGGTGGGGTGGGATGGGGAGGGGTTGGTTGAGATTGGGTGGGCCGTGGTGGGATTGGTTGGGCAGGCGAGTGGGGGGTTGTTGCATAGGAAGTGACGAAGGGAAGGGGACGGTGGGGTGGGTTCGGGGAGAGGGGGAAGGTCTGAACGAGAGGAATAAATAAGGCGAAACAGTAGAATGACTAGCATAAAGGGTAGGTAGGCAGGGAAGCAGGGAGGGAGGGAGCGAGGGAAGGAGGGAAGTGTGTTGTGATGGGGCACGGGGCAGCATGGCAGTGGGGCAGCATGGCAGTGGGGCAGCATGGCAGTGGAGCAGCATGGCAGTGGAGCAGCATGGCAGTGGAGCAGCATGGCAGTGGAGCAGCATGGCAGTGGGGCAGCATGGCAGTGGAGCAGCATGGCAGTGGAGCAGCATGGCAGTGGAGCAGCCTGGCAGTGGAGCAGCATGGCAGTGGAGCAGCATGGCAGTGGAGCAGCATGGCAGTGGAGCAGCATGGCAGTGGAGCAGCATGGCAGTGGGGCGGCATGGCAGTGGGGCAGCATGGCAGTGGGGCAGCATGGCAGTGGGGCAGCATGGCAGTGGGGCAGCATGGCAGTGGGGCAGCATGGCAGTGGAGCAGCATGGCAGTGGGGCGGCATGGCAGTGGGGCAGCATGGCAGTGGGGCAGCATGGCAGTGGGGCAGCATGGCAGTGGGGCAGCATGGCAGTGGGGCAGCATGGCAGTGGGGCAGCATGGCAGTGGGGCAGCATGGCAGTGGGGCAGCACCAACAGCAGATCATTTAAACTCAACTGAACCTGTTATCATAAAAGCCCAATGCCCCTCCATTTACCCCATTCCCCCTATTCCTCCCATTCCCCTCCTCCCGCCCCTCCACCCCGTTCCACCCCTGCCCTCCCCCTTCTTCACCCACTCACCCCCTCCCCCTCCCTCGCCCCCTCCCCTCCCCCCCGCACCCCTTCCATCTCCGCGCGTACATGAGCAGGTGCAGCGGGCGGTTAGGGCGCAAGTAATCCGCGGCGAACGCGCGCACCGACTTGAGCGACGCCAAATCCAGCGGCATCACGCTCACGCGCTCGCGCACCGCCGCCGGAACCCCCGCCGCCGCTGCGCTCCGCCCCTCGATGTCCTTGATGATGGCGGCTTTGGCGGCCTCCCCCGCCTCCGTGTTCCGCACCGCGAGCACCACGGACGCGCCTCGCAGCGCCAGCACCCGCGCCGTCTCCGTGCCGATGCCGCTGCTGCCGCCTGGGGGGAGGAAATTCGCGCCAGAAGGGTGTCGGGAGAGGGGGAGGAAGAAGAAATTAGCGCGGCGGAAAGAGAGAGGGGCGACATGCGCGCGTGGGGAGAACATTGGCACGAGGACGAGGTTCGCGCGGGAAGGGGAATTCGCGAGTGCTGAATGAATTTGGGCGCGGGGGAGGAGGAAGGCTGGAGTGGAGGACTGAAATTTTTTTCAGACATGGCACAAACAGCTTTTGAGGCGTCTTACACGCTTTTTCACAATGGCGCGGGGAAGAGACTAGGGTGGAAAAGAGAGGGGAGTGGAAGTACGGGCAAGGACGAGAGGACGAGAAGACGGGCGGACGAGCGGATGAGAAAGATCAGTTTGATTGAGAAAGGCGAAGACGAGAAAGAAATGCAAGGGTGGTAAAGACTCGTTGGGTGGAAGGTGCTAAGAGAGTGGGAGAGAATAGCTCATACTGCCGCTGCACTTGCTGCTCCCGTGCCTCACATCAGCGGTATCAAAGCATCCCTACTCCTCACCACCTCCCCCTCCTCCCCCCCCGTCCCCTCACATGTCCTCCCTTCTACCGTGCCCTTTTATCCTTTCCCGTACCACACAAACACGCAGGATATTTCTGATCCACATTCTCTCCCCTCACCCCCGTAATTCCCCCCTCTTTTCCCCGTTTCTCCCCGTTCCTCTCCAATTTGTCTCCCGTTTCCTCCCGTTTACTGCATACGGCGAAACCGAATCATCGATGCTCTTACCCATTACGATTGCCACTTTGCCGCTCAAATCGACGCCCGCCGTCACATCTTCCGCCGTCGACCGGTAGCCGAACTTTGACGGATCAGCAACCGCTGACGTTGACGGTGACGGACCGGAGGCGGAAGCCATAACGGCGTGGGCGCGCGGAGCCGAGAGGATCAGAGTGGGAGCGAGGGGTATGGCGAGTAGAGCCCAGCGGTAGTGTCGCATGGAAAGAGATTGCGACGAGAGCGACGCTAGCGACGACAGTGGCGACGGAGAGAGAGGACCCACGAGAGACGCGCTGCCGGGACCAGGAACCATACTCTGAACTGGACGGAGCACGCTCACACGACACGACTCTGCTTGGTGCTGGGGTAGTGGCGCGGCGACGAGAATTTTGTTATGCGATATCGCCAATTCGCTGCAGAGCCGGAGTGGTAACAAATTTATAAATTGGGTGTGGAAATGGCATTCACTGCGGAAATACAAGTGTCATCTCGTCTGCCCCCTTCCTGGTCAGTCAGACTCACCACTGAAGTGTGGGTCCTGAGAGCTCGCACACGTACATGTGGTGCGTAGCGATTGCTCGAGTTAGATCCGGATTCTTGATCTGTTACACCCTGTTTCTCGACCCTCTCACCTTGCGCGATTCGCTGCTACAGTGCGGTCAGGTGCCATAAACCGTATGGCTGAAACCTACGGGCAAAGCCGCACCAGCTGACGGAGTGGTACTGGGGGCAAAATTTTTCTTTATCGCTGTTTACCCTTTTCAACCGCTTTGAAACGCTTGTTTAATGTTCGTTACCATGCAGCATCCTAGCTAACCGCTTTCCTGTGAATGTGCTTGTACCGTCGGTGATAAGACCATTTCAAACGTGGTGACGTTCTACAACCTGTGCTTGTTCTGCAACCAGATGCTCTGCTAGCGCGAAACAGGGTGTAGCTACATGCATCCCAGCGTGGCAGAACATCGACGTGTGCCAAAACATCGACGTGTGCCAATGACGCGACAAATGACGTGTGTCAAAATGCTGCGACCACGTGGTCAACCCTAAGAGAAAGGCACAGTGTAAGCACAGAAGCGATTAAGAGCCAGAGAGTAGGAGCTACCACTATGGGCATGAAATACCCAACACAAATTATTGCTTAGTATGCACCTTACAAAGCCTATACTAGTAATGTGTTGGGCTGAGAAAAGCCCTTAGGATCTTTGCAGGGGTGAACTCTGGGTAGTATCAATGTAATAGCGGAAGCGTTTTGAAGAGATTGTGAACCACCTTGCGCTAGTATGTGAGGGCAAAGTAAGTTGATAAAAACAAAGAGATACAAGATTATATAGGAGTACAAGGAATATGAAAGGATACGGTTATACCGTATGGCCCCGGATATAGGCGCATATGCGCTTATAATAAAATCGTTTTTTTTAGGGGGGGCGCTTGTAATTGAGTAACGGCCATAACCGCCGGCGCTTATATAATGACAAATACGAAATTATAATTTTAGAGCACCAAATTGTTCATTTTATTCTTGCCATTTCAACCGAGTCGAAATGTTTTAGCGTCACAATGCAGAATCTCGCACAAGCGATATTCTGGGTTCACACACAGGCAAAGCCACGTCATTCCAGCACATCCTGACTGGACGCGCAGCCAGTCAGGTCTTCACGAGTCGAACGAAGCGAAATTGAAATCTGACTCGCTGCAAAAATGGATTTCGTTACAGTTTTAGGCAAGAATTTAAATTCAAATCGCATATGCGCTTATAATAAGTAAAGGTTTTCTAGGGGGGGCGCTTATAATCGAATTCCGGCCATAGGCGCCATGCTCCAAATAGAAGCGCCGGCGCCAAGCTCCAGATAGAAGCGCCGGCGCCTTTAATTGGACGGCGCCTATATCCGGTGCGATACGGTAACTGTTTTACTGTTGCTGTTGCGGTTCGATACAGTGACGACTCGGGCAACTGCTCTGTAGTGAGTCAGTTGTGTGTCCTTGCTGTCGCGCTGTACTTGTAAAGTCAAAGGTCGCTGACCTTTGACTTTCGCGTAACCTCCAGCAGTTACTTCAACCTTCGAGGGTTGACTCGCTGGTGCCTCGATATGCTTTACTTCGCTTGTGCCTTAGTGTTTCGACATGACAGAGGCGCTTAACCATAATTGTTTCCAACACCCCCCTTCGCTTCTAGAGTGTTGCTGTTGGTGACGTGGCTCTGTCCAGTCAGCAGCATGCAGTACTCGAACTTCTACTTTCCGAGCTTCTTGGTCAAGTAGTCAGCTGCCATCTCGGACGTGGGGCAGTATGACAGCTCAAGCCTTCCTTTTTCGATCTCGTCCTTCACGAAGAAGTATCTCAGGGCGATGTGTTTCGTCCTGTTCGCGAAGCCGTTCTTGTTGGCGATGCGAATTGCCAACTGGTTGTCGCAGAACAGAGTGAAGCACGGTAACGGAGCCAGCTTCGCTTCTTCTAGCAGTTCGCGAAGATAAAGTCCTTCCTTGGTGGCTGAACAGAGTGCGATATATTCTGCTTCAGCTGACGAGAGGGCAATTAATTCCTGCTTGCTCGACTGCCAAGAGATAGGTCCGATAGGTTCGAGGCGGTAGACGTAGCCAGTGCGAGAACGCCGTTTGTCAGAGTCGCCAGCGTGATCGGCGTCGACGTAGCCGATTAACTAAGGCGGCGTAGTTGCGTTCTTGTAGTAAGTTAGACCAATCGTCGGGGTGCTAATGAGATAGTGAAGAGCACGGTTGAGTTCTGCTAGATGTTCCGTTTCGGGCCTCTTGAGGTAGGTGGTAAGCTGGCTTGCAGAGTACGATAGATCTGGACGACAGGTGACAGCTGCGAAGAGAAGGCAGCCCAGCTTTCTCTGGTAGTCGCGTATGTCAGAATGTTATGCTCTAGCCTGTAGTGGGGTGCTCTATAGCGAATACAACCCTTCTAGGGCTTGCTATTTGTATCCTCATTCTTGCTAGTGCAACGCTCTCCTTTCTTCTAAACTTTCACATGGTATCAAAGCAGGTCGATCCCCTTGGATCGATCCTGTGGGTGGGCTCACCACCTCGTTGCTTCCGCTGCAACTGCTACTGCTACTCTCTGTGCCGGACGCCCCGTGGCGTGCGGCAGTTTTTCTTCCCGCCATGCGCCCCGAGGCGCGCGGCGGTTTTCTGGGCAATTGTACCTGCACTTCGAAAATAGGCGTTGTACTCGAAAATAGTAAGTGCTCGGGTTCTGATGAGGCGTAAACGGTCGATGTGGTAAGTCACCTTCTGCTACTGCTACTCTCTGTGCCCTACATTGCGGCCCCGCCGCCTCTCTCGCTGCGGCCCCGCCGCCCTACTCAGCGGCCCCGCCGCCCTACACTGCGGCCCCGCTGCCTCTCTCGCTGCGGGCCCGCCGCCCTACTCAGCGGCCCCGCCGCCGTTCACTACGGCCCCGCCGCCTCTCTCGCTACGGCCCCGCCACCCTACTCAGCGGCCCCGCCGCCCTTCACTGCGGCCCCGCCGCCTCTCTCGCTGCGGCCCCGCCGCCCTACTCAGCGGCCCCGCCGTCCTTCACTGCGGCCCCGCCGCCTCTCTTGCTGCGGCCCCGCCGCCCTACTCAGCGACCCCGCCGCCCTTCACTGCGGCCCCGCCGCCTCTCTCGCTGCGGCCCCGCCGCCAGGCGCCACGTGAGTGGCACGACACACTGAGGACTACGCTTGCGGCACTTGGGTTTGCTCCTTCTACTGCCGACCCGTCGCTGTTTCTATGCACCGACACCTCTCCGCCGCCGCTCTACATCCTCGTGTACGTCGACGACTTGGTCTTTGCCACAGCTGACACTGCTGGACTCGCCTACGTGAAGTCCGAGCTGCAGAAGAGACACACGTGCACTGACCTGGGTGAACTGCGCGGCTACCTTGGCTTGCAGATCACCCGGGATAGAGCACGCTGCACCATTACCGTGACTCAGTCACACATGGTGCAGAAGGTCATTCAGCGCTTTGGCTTCACGTACTCCTCGCCTCAGGCCACTCCTCTGCCTACTCGCCACTCACTCTCAGCTCTGCCTTCGGATGAGTTCGTAGAGTCGAGTGGCCCGTATGCGGAGCTTGTTGGCTGCCTCATGTACCTGATGACCTGCACACGACCTGACCTTGCATACCCTCTCAGCATTCTCGCACGCTATGTTGCTCCTGGGAGACACCGACCAGAGCACATGGCTGCAGCGAAGAGGGTGTTGCGCTACTTGTGTAGTACGTCGGGCATGGGGCTAGTGCTTGGAGGGCGCAGTCCAGTGGTCCTCACTGGGCACGCGGACGCTTCTTGGGCTGAAGACCAGGCTACGCAGCGGTCGTCATAGGGTTACACCTTCGGCCTTGGTTCTGGCTCTGTTTCGTGGCGGGCTACTCGCTCTTCTTCTGTTCTCGGCTCCAGTTGTGAGGCTGAGATCTACGCCGGGGCTATGGCTGCTCAGGAGCTTCGCTGGCTCCCCTACCTGCTGACCGACCTTGGAGAGCCGCCTCGTTCTCCTCCAAACATGTACGTAGACAACAAGGCCATGCTGGCCTTGTGTCGAGAGCAGCGACTGGAGCACAGGACAAAGCACATTGCTCTCCGCTACTTTCTTGCTCGTGAGCTACAGCAGCATGGACAGTTGCGACTTGCGTACGTGGCCTCTGAGGCCAACACAGCTGATGTCTTCACCAAGGCACTTGCGCCTTGTGATCATCAGCGTTGCCGCACGCAGCTAGGTCTTGTGCCTGTCTTGCCTCACTTGCTCACTTCTTGAACTTGCTTGTACCTTGACCTATATATACTCTTGCTCTTGTTTGCTTGACTCTTGTATATCTCTATATATGATCTTGCATGTGAACTGGCCTTGTGGCCTTTGAACTTGTGCTCGGAATGTGTGGTGACTTTGTGATCCACCCTGAGCTTTGCTTTGCTTTGCTTGACTGGTCTTGTGAACCCTTGTTCTCCCCCACTTTGCCTGTGGGGGTGTGTGAGAACATTATAGCTTATATATTTGTGTAGGCTATAGTGGGGTATCCCATAGGGGGTACAACCCAATTAGGGTTTCATATTTGCACTCACTTCATTCATAGTTCACACATTCTCGTTCACTTCTTCTCACCGCTCGCGTCGGGTCCAGGCCGATGTGTAACACCGCAATTTTTCGTACTGAATTATCACTGTTTTCCTCCATTTGGCGATTTACAGGAAGATTTGCGACAAAAATACATGAGTTCTAGGC